GCATAGGGTGGGGCTCAGAGAAGGGGCGGGAAGCACCCGAGTTGGTGGGCTAGGCCAGGGGTCAGCCACTGAGGTCTATGGGCATAAGGCAAGGGTTCCGCTGACGACGTGTATGGCCTGTGAGCCTTGGGTTGCAGATGGACATTTATAATTGGTTCATGCTCGGGAACACTAATTTAATCCCAGTGAAGTGAGAAATGTCATCTCCCCCAAAGAATTCCCTTTGTGTCATTAGCAAATTTGTATAACAAAAAGTGTACTCCATTATTATATTTTGAATCTCAATGAAAAATTTGTGGGAATGCATTTGCTCTCTTGTATATAAGTACCTACCTATATAATACTATAAGTACATAATATACTCTACTTGCCTGTGGGCCCACAGAGCCTAACATTTTTACTATCGGGTCCTTTGTGGGAAAAGGGTGCTGAGGCTCTCAGAACTGCATGTGGGAGCCCCACATCTCCGTGCTGGGTGGGGGTGAATCCCACAGGAATGTTAGGTTAGGTGGCTCAGGAGGCGGCGCAAGAAATAGAGAGTCCAGTGAATCAGAAAAGAAAGGAAAGGAAAAGGTTTATTTCTGCGTCCCTGGGAGACCCACGTACCCCAAAGACAGGGCACGTGGATTCACACCAACAGGGAGGGGGGCGCTTTTTTTATACTGCGGTTGGGTGAGGGGCGGGGACATGAGCTGAGGTATTCAGTTGAGGAAGTTTCAGCTGCAAAGGGGTCAGCCAGGTATTCAGGAATGAGTCAGTATCTGTGTGGGGGTCGGTGCTGATTCAGGGAGAAGCCAGTATCTGTGTCTGGCATGCTGATCTGTTAGACATGCCAGGGGGAGTCCATTGTCTCATCACATGTCTGCATGTATCTGAACCTGGGCTCTCTCCTACCTAACAAGGAAGACACACGGAGCAGGACGAACTGCTTCCTTCACTATGTCCTTCTCTCCTCCTGACCCTCACCCTCTGTTTTCCCTCCAGCCTTGGCCTTATGCCATGGGTTCAACCTGGACACCGAAAACCCCGTGATCTTTCAAGAGAATGCGAGGAGCTTCGGGCAGAGCGTGGTCCAGATTGAGGGGTCCCGGTAAGGGCCACCGTGGAGCTCCCTGCCTCCCGCGCTTTCCCTCTAAGATTGCATCCCTGAGAACCCCTCCCCCCATTTCCTTTGTTGTTGTTTTTTGTTTGTTTTTCTTTGTTTTTTTAAAAAATATATTTTTATTGATTTTTTACAGAGAGGAAGGGAGAGCGATAGAGAGTTAGAAACATCGATGAGAGAGAAACATCGATCAGCTGCCTCCTGCACACTCCCTACTGGGGATGTGCCCGCAACCCAGGTACATGCCCTTGACCGGAATCGAACCTGGGACCTTTCAGTCCGCAGGCCGACGCTCTATCCACTGAGCCAAACCAGTTTCAGCTTGTTTGTTTTTCTTGATTTATTTCCGAATAGTTAATCCCAAAGAGTGTGATAGTGAAAAATCTCCCGCACTCCTTTCTCCCAGTTCCTATCCCAGGAGGGTTTAAACATTTTGTTCCCAATTACAGTTTACATTCAATGTTATTTTGCATTAGTTTCTGGTGTACAGCACATACCAGCATAGAGGTTAGACAATCATATACTTTATAAAGGGCTTTCCTGATATTGCCAGTGCCCACTGGCACCAATCACAGTTATTCTATGTCTCTGTGCTGTACTTTACATCCCGTGACTGTGCTGCATCTACCAACTTGTATTTACTCTCTTTACTATTTCTAGCTAGTCCCTCACCCTCCTGCCCCTCTGGCAACCATTAGTCCGTTCTCTGTTTCTATGAGTCTATTTCAGTTTTGTTTGTTTCATTGTTTTGTTCTTTAGATTCCACATGTAAGTGAAATCATGTGGTATTTGTCTTTCTCTGACTGACTTATTTCACTGAGCATCATGCCCTCTAGGTCTATCCATGCTGTCGCAAATGGTAGGATTTCATTCTTTTTTATGGCCAAGTAATATTCCACTGTATATATGTACCACAATTTTTTATTCACTGGTCTATTGATGGGCACTTGGGTTGCTTCTATAGCTTGGCTATCATGAGTAAATAATTCTGCAATGAACATAGTGGTGCATATATTCTTTTGAATCAGTATTTTGGGTTTTTTCTGTCATATACCCAGAAATGGAATCGCTGGTCATAAGGCAATTACATTTTAAATGTTTTGAGGACGCCGCCCCCCCATACTGTTTTTCACAGTGGCTGCACCCATTTACATTGCCAACAGCAGTGCAGGAGGGCTCCCTTTTCTCCACATCCAGGCCAACACTTGTCACCTGTGGGTTTGTCGATGGTCGCCATCCTGACAGGTGTGAGGTGATATCTCACTGCAGTTCTAATTTGCGTTCCTCTGATGGTTAGTGACGTTGAGCATCTTTTCATGTCTATTGGGCATCTGTATGTCCTCTTTAGAGAAGTGTCTATTCAGGTCTTTTGCCCATTTTTAAATTGAAGAAAAAAAAATTTTTTTGGTATTGAGTTGTATGAGTTCTTTATAAATTTTGGATATTAACCTCTTATCAGATGTATCATTGGTGAATATGTTCTCCCATTAAGTATGTTGCGTTTTCATTTTGTTGATGGTTTCCTTTGCTGTACAAAAACTTTTTAGTTTGATGCAGTCCCATTTGTTTATTTTTTCTTTTGTTTCCCTTCCCTGAGAAGATATATCAGTAAAAATATTGCTATGAGAAATGCCAGAGATCTTACTGCCTATCTTTTCTTCTAAGGCAGTGGTTCTCAACCTTGGCTGCACATTAGAATCACCTGGGAATCTTTTTAAAATCCTGATTTCTGGGCCGCATCCTCCGGAAATTCTGTTTCTTTGTTACTAATGTTGTGGCCCCACCCCATAACAAAGAAACAGAATTTCTGGAGAATGCGGCTCAGAAATCAGGATTTTAAAAAGATTCCCAGGTGATTCTAATATGCAGCAAAGGTTGAGAACCACTCTTCTAAGACTTTATGGTCTCGAGTCTAACATTTATATCTTTAATCCATTTGAGTTTATTCTTGTATATGGCATAAGAAGGTGGTCGAGTTTCATTTTTTTGCCTGTATCTGTCCAGTTTCCCCAACACCATTTATTGAAGAGACTGTCTTTACCCCATCGTATGCTCTTGCCTCGTTGGCAAGTATTAATTGACCAGAGAGGCATGTGTTTATTTCTGGGCTTTCTATGCTGTTCCATTGATCTGTGTCTGTTTTTATGCCAGTACTATGCTACTCTGTTGTTAAATGATCTTTAAAAAAATATGTTTTTATTGATTTTACAGAGAGAGGGAAGGAGAGGGATAGAGAAATAGAATCATTGATCGGCTGCCTCCTGCATGCCACGCCCCACACTGGGGATTGAGCCTGCAACCTGGGCCTGTGCCCTTGATTAGAATCAAACCTGGGACCCTCCAGTCCACAGGCCGATGCTCTATCCACTAAGCCAAACTGGCTAGGGCTGCTTATGGATTTTAGAGGGGGGGGGCGGGCAAGAGAGAGAAAGAGAGATAGAGAGAGAAGCATTGAGGTGAGAAGCATCCATTTTTGCCTTCTGTACGTGCCCCAACTGGGAATCAAATCCATAACCTTTCAGTGCACAGGACAACCCGGCCTCCCTTCCCCAGGGCAAGAAAAACTTCATTTTTGACTGAGCTCAGACTTAGAGGTAGGAGCTCTCAGGCAATCTGTTTCTTACGTTTTCCTGTGGCCTCCCTCCTCCTCTTGGCTAAAAGTTTAGCATATTCTTCGGCCTCTTGGTTATTTTTAGGGCGCTGTTTCTTCAGAGCAGTACGCCCACGTCTGTGTCACGGGCTGCGTGGCAGGCCATGTGGGTAACAAGATGCTGACTCGTGGGTGCTTTGGTCCTAGTTCTTAGCTTCTCTGTGGAGGGCTGTCTCACAGCACCCTACTGGACAGCATCTGCTCTAGAGATGGAAACGTTTGTGGGTTCTGCTAGCTCTTCCGGGCCCGGGCACGAGGCACAGCAGCATCAATGAGACCAGCAATATCCTTCTCTCCTTCTCGTACAACGACCAGGTTGGGAACATGGCGTCCGCAATGCAGCCCCAAACAGCGGTGACTTCTCTCTCCATCCTCCTTGGTCTATAACAGGAACGCCTCTCACACGGCAGCGGGCCACTCGGCCACGGCAAGACACCCTGCTTCACGGGGAACCTTGTTTGTAGTTCCCACCACCGACTCCGACCACATAACCCATCCAGCTTCTGTGGCCACACGCTTCTCACGAAAGGCAGAAGTTTGCGGCCATCGCCCAGGTCAGCGAGCAGAATGCTGGCAGCCGGTTACTGGGAAACAGATGCCACCTCTGGGTGCCACGAGAAGAGCGAATTGAACCATTTTTAAATAACCTATTTGGTGTGTGTCCTTCCCACGCTGAGATTTAACATTTTCCCACTTTTTCTTTGTTGAGCGTCCTGTCCCTAGGAATTGGAGAACCTGTGTGGATTGGCTCCCACTCTCCCCCCGGGGGCAGGACTTCTTCCCTGGCCTCCTTCTCTCTCCACGTGTCCATTTCCTCGGGTTCCTGTGGCGATCTGTGCCCAACTCTCCCCGCAGGGTGGTGGTGGGAGCCCCCCAGGAGATAAAGACCGCCAACCAGACGGGAGGCCTCTACCAGTGTGACTACAGCACGTCGGCCTGTGAGCCCATCCAGCTGCAGGGTGAGCCCCGCCCCTCCCTAAGCCCCGGGCCCTCCTGTGCATATCCCTGCACTTGCCAGGCATTCCCTTTGCTCCCTTTGTTCTGGGGGGAGGGTCTGTGGTTGGGCCCCGGGGGGCAGCTCCCAGCCTCTCCCAGCCCAGGCACCCTCAGGCACTCCTTTCATATTCTTTTCCCACCGGTGCCCCTTGACCTGCCAGCCTGTGTCTCCCGGTCGAGGTGACCCCTGTCCAGCTTCTCCTCAGGCTCTTTCCTCTCCTGAATGTGACCATGCCCATGCCTGTCCTCTCAGTGCCCCCGGAGGCCGTGAACATGTCCCTGGGTCTGTCTCTGGCATTTGCCACCAACCCTTTCCGGCTGCTGGTGAGTCGCCCCTGGGTCACGGGAGTGTCTGAGGGGAGGCGTGGAGACCTGGTGTCTTGCAGAGGATGGAGATGTTGGGGTAAAAGGACAGGAAGCAGGGGACAGCCCCTCCTACCTGCCCCCTGCCTTCCAGGCCTGCGGCCCCACCCTACACCAAACGTGCAAGGAGAACACCTATGTGAACGGCTTCTGCTTCCTGTTTGGATCCAACCTGCGGCAGCCGCCCCAGAGGTTCCCAAAGGCCCTCAGAGGTAGGCTGCGCTTGGTATAGAGGGGAGATGGGCAGCAGAGGCTGGAGGCAGGGGCAGCACCGGACTGGGGACCACTCGTAGTCTGGAGCGTGACTTAGAAGTCTAGGTGTAGAAGGTTCTGAGAGAGAGAGAGAGAGAGAGAGAGAGAGAGAAAGAGACAGACAGACACTTGGGCGAAGTGCTAGGGTCTTGCACTTCAAGAAAAGTCCTGCGATAGCCGCTCATCTTTGTAAGGTGATATTCCCAACATTGTCCTTAGAGGAAGTGCCTTAGTCTCCTGCCCACCTCTCCAGCTTCTCTCCCATCCCTTCCCTCAGCCGCTGTGCTCTAGCCACACCGGCTGTCTTTCTTCTCCAGGAACCACACAGAACTGCGCCTGCCTCCAGGCCTTTGCACTTTCCATTCCTTCGGCCTGGTGTGCTCTTCCCCAAGAGCTCAGCTGACAGCCCATTATCGTCATCTCAGCTCCAATGCCGCCTCTCCAGAGGCCTCCCCGAGTGCCCTTCCAACCATCCCGCCATGATGCCTGCCACATCGCCCTAACTACCGTTCTCACGTCTGCATTTCCATTTTCCACGTGCTTCTCAGCTGTCCTTTCTTCTGGAATGTCGGCTCCATGATAGCAAGGATGTTGCCTAGCTTGTTCACTGCTCTGTGCTTTTGTATTTATTGCTTCATAACAAATTTCCCCTGAACGTAGCAGCTAAAAGCAACAAGATTCATTATCTCGCAGCTTCTATGCATCAGGAATCTGGGCGTGCCCGAGCTGGGTGCCTCTGCCTTAGGGTTGCTCATGAAGTGGGAGTTAAGTTGTCACACCAGAGCTGTCGTCTCATCTGAAGGCTTGACTGGGAAAAAGCCACCTCCAACTCACTTCAAGGTTGTTGCACCGAGGCCTGGGTCCTCACTGGCCGATGGCTAGAGGCGTCCCCTAGCTTGTCACACGGACCTCCACAGCGAGCAGCGCACACCATGGCAGCTGGCTTCCCTCAGGGGTGGGTGGATAAAGATGGAGAGAGGAGAGAGAGCAGGCACCCAAGCAGAAGTCACAGTCTTTTCATACACTAATCTCAGAAGTTACAGCTCATAACTTCTGCAATTTCTTTGAAGTGAGTCAAAAAGTTCAGCTGAACCCAGCCCGTATGACTCAGTGGTTGAGCGTTGACCTAAGAACCAGGAGGTTAGAGTCTGATTCCCGGTCAGGACACATGCCTGGGTTGCAGGCTTGATCCCCAGTGTGGGGCATGCAGGAGGCAGCCAATCAATGATTGTCTCATCATTGTTGTTTCTATCTCTCTCTCCCTCTCTCTTCCTCTCTGAAATCAATAAAAATATATTAAAAAAAATAGGTTCAGCTAAGCCCTAGCTGGTTTGGCTATGTGGGTAGAGCATAGCTGTGGACTGAAGGGTCCCAGGTTCGATTCCAGTCAAGGGCATGTACCTTGGTTGCAGGCTTGATCAGGGCCCATGTGGGAGGCAACCAATCAATGTGTCTCTCTCACATCGATGTTTTTCTCTCTCTGTCTGCCCCCCTCCTGCCCATCCTCTCTAAAAATGGAAAAATATCCTCAGGTGAGGATTAACTCACTCACTCACTCACTCACTCACTAAAAGAGAGTGTCATTCTGAAAAAAAAAATCTAGTTAAAACTCAAGAGGAGGTGACTATCTTGGCGGTTGCCGACCACACCTGGTTCCCCAAACCTTTGTTGACTGAAGGAGAGTGAGCGAGGGGATCTTTTTTGAGCTGCTCTCGGCCGTTGCGTTCTCTCACTGCCTGGCCACCTTTTTGCTTGTCTCCAAGTCGGCTCTGGAACCAAGGGCAGCGGTGCCCTCCTTCTACATTTCTTTCCCTTACGCTCGGTTCCTCTCACTCCACTCTCACCAGATAGCAACCTCCTTCTTCCCAGAGAAAACCACAGCTGCCAGGCCGGAACTCCCTCCCGGTCCCCCCTCCTCCTCCAGATCCCCACGAAGGCACGTCTCATTGGGGTTGGGGGGGCCTTTCCGAGAGCGGGTCTGGGCCTCAGAGGTTCTTTCTCGTCACCGACCTGGGGCTCCTGTCGTCCATCACTCATTCCCTCCAGGACCTTCACGCTCTCCCATTCCTTTGAAGGTAAACCTGCTGCTGATACCCACATCTTAGAATCCATCAAGGACTAGGATTTACACCAATAAATATAACCTCCCCCCTTCCTGCCTTTGCCCTGTCTCCCGCCGACTCCCCTTCCCTTCACCAAACGTCTTCAAAGGGCTGGCTTTCTCCTTTGGCGCCATCTCCCCCATGTCCTGACTTCACGCTCTGACACCTGGCTTCTGCCCATCCTTGGTACAGACTGTGCTCTTGCAAATGGCCTCTGTGACCCTGAATGGCGAGTATCTTTTCTGTCCTCATGTTCACTGACCTCTCTAAGGTGACCTGCAGACCCTCCTTCCCCACACACTTCAGCCTCGGGTGTCCCACCCCCCCCTCCCCTTCCTGCTTCTCCCCTGCAGGGGCTTCTGCTAAGCATCATCGCCAGGCCATCTGCCCCTGCCGGCCCTGCCTGCCCTGCCTGCCCAGGGCACCAGGTTACAGTTTCTCTACTTTCCCATGCGTTCTTCCTGCCCGACGCCTCCACTTCTGTGGCTTCGGCTCCCATTCTCACATCTCTGTCTTCGGCCCTCACTCCCAGGAGCTCAAGACTCTTCTTTGAAAAACCATTTCCGTTTCCTTTAAGATGCACTTGGTTCGCAGTTCAATAGGCACTAAGGGGTGGACTGTGAGACGCTTTCCCTTGGGTCCCCCAGTCTGTTTCCTTTCTGGAGGCAGCCCTGCTGCCTGTGTCTTGTGTCGTCTCTGGAGATACTCCCTGCATCACAATGGTGGCCTGCTGGACACACCGTATGTGCCTTGTTTTCAACTTATCTTTGAGATTAAATAATTTTTTTTTCTGGCCAATTTTTGTATATATTCCATATAAACCTTAGAATCTGTTTGTTTACTAGTATTTTTTAAATTTCTTTTTAAATCCTCACCCGAGGGTATGTCTACTGATGAGAGAGAGAGAGAGAGAGAGAGAGCGAGAGATGTGAGAGAGAAACATTGATTGGTTGCCTCCTGGGGATCAAATCCACCACCTGGGCATGTGCCCTGACCGGGACTCGAACTCACAACCGTTTTGGTGCACCGGGCGACATTCCAAGCAACTGAGCCACTTGGCTGGCATTGTTTGTTTATTTTTAAGAAGCCAACACTTTTTGGGTAATTTTAGTTTTTTAATGTCCTACAAAAGAATTTACTTTTTTTCTTTTAAAAAAATTTTTTTTTTCAATTACTGTTGATATATATTAGTTTCAGGTGTACAACATAGTGATTAGGCATTTATATGGCTTACGGAGGGATAACTCCGATAAACCTATTGCCCATCTGATACCATACATAGTTATTACAATATTATTGACTATTTTCCTTTGCCCCGCCTTATATCCCCATGACTATTTCTAGTGTACAGTTTCATGAATTTTAAGAAATGTATCTATTTGTGTGAAAACAACATGAACAGGATGTAGAAGCGTTCCACTCCCCCCCTAAGAACACCTTTGTGCCTTTATAGTCCGTTGCCTCCTCCCCTTCACCCCTAGCCCCTGGCACTCACTGATCTGTTCTCCATCACTATATAGTTTGTCTTTTCAAGAATGTTACTTACATGGAATCATAACCTTTTGAGTTTGCATGTGGGACTCACCCACATTGTTATGTCAGTAGTTCTTTCCTTTTTATTGCTGAGTAGTATTCCATTGCATGGATTTCCCACAGTCCCATTCACCGATTCATCCATTCACTCATTGAAGGGTGTTTGGGTTATTTCCAGTATTTCACATCATGAATAAAGCTGCTAAAAGTCTTCACTGCTAATCTTTCTACAACATAAACACATCATCTCTCTTCCTTCCCTAAGAACCATCTGTGGCTCCCCACTGCTTAAGGGGTAAAGTCAAACTTCTTTTTGGGATAGAGAGGCTCTTTCCAACTGTTCTCTGCTTAATGTCATAGCCTCGTCTCCATCTCCATCAGATAGGTTTACCCCGGTAGTTCCATGTCCATTTCTGGATTCTGCCAGAATTCTTTGAGGTCCCTCCCCTTTGTATCAGTCGGGGTCTCTACTGGAACAGGCGGCACACTCCAGTTAAGGTAACTCAAAGGGACTATTTGCAAAGGGACTAATTATAAATATGTGGTAGGGTCTAAGCTACTAGGGACAGTCCAGGAACCCAGGGCCAGCAGAGCTGTCACCACCCCTAAGCTGATAAGACAAGGAGAGGGAAGTCACCAGAACCCAGCAGAGAGGAAGTGTGTGAGCGGGCCTCCTTGAGAGGATGGGAGATCTGCTGAGGGACACAGCTGGCTAGAGCAACCTTGCAGGGAGGGAGCCAAGAGGAGAACACTCTGATCTCACTTTTCTCTCTCCCTCCAGTCTCCTGCTGAAGCTCCTAACTGGGTAAATCCAACTAGAAGCCAGAGGGTAAAAGAGCCCTGTTGCTCTGGACCATGTGGGCCCACTTGTCCCAGGCTGCGGAGCGGAGTTGGGAGGGTAGAAAGTAGGTTTGGGGCTGAGGGCAGAAGAACATCCAGCATACCTGTGCTAGTCCTCCCCTCCCGCCCTCGGAACTTGTTTCTTCCTTTGTATTCCTGGAAAATTATTTCTCATTCTTCATGAGGTAGCTCTAATATCACCACGTTCCCTGACTCTCTTGGGCAGAATTACCCAATTGTTTTTCCTACCAATTTGTTCACATTTTTATTTAAAAACTAGAGTCCTGGTGATCAAAATTCGTGCACAGGGTGCGGGGCGGGGGGGGGGGGGGGAGACACACTCAGCCCAGCCTGCCCCCTCTCCAATCTGGGTCCCCTCGGGGGATGTCCGACTGCCGGTTTAGGCCCGATCCTGAGGAATAATACTAATCTACATGTAGTACCCGAAGCTGAAGTACTTAATCACGTCACACCCTTCTCCTTTGTCCAGAGTGCCCTCAGCAGGAGAGTGACATCGCCTTCTTGATTGATGGCTCTGGCAGCATAAACCCAGTTGACTTTCGGCGGATGAAGGATTTCGTCTCAACTGTGATGAATCAGTTCACAAAGTCCAAAACCTTGGTGAGGGCCAATGGGGAGGTTAGGGAACAGCCCAAGCAAGGCTGCAAGGACATAGCAACCAGGCCACCACTTTCCTCTCCTCCCTCAACTGCAGACTTTGACACATGGTCAGTCGATCATGACCTTCTTTCATGATTCTCCTTCTTGCTCTGGATGAAGCCTCGGTATTCCTCCAACTCCCTGTAAAGTGGGCAGCTCTGACTATTTGATAGGGGTTGGCATGGCAGATGAAACCCCCGTGTCGTCTCTGACTGAGTTGTAGTACTGAGAGCAGATGGCAGGTCTCTTTCCTGGTGGGGCAGAAAGAGGGGGAGGGGTAGAAGTTGGAGACCGGGGTGCTTTAAGATTTCTGCAGGGCTTTCTGGGAGATGGCTAAGGGAGGGGGAGAGGCATCTTCTTTAGTGTAATGCCAGGTCCCGTCCCCAGTTCTCTTTGATGCAGTACTCTCAAGATTTCCGGACGCACTTCACCTTCCAAGATTTCAAGGCCAACCCTGACCCGAGGCTACTGGTGGGGCCAATCACACAGCTTCAAGGGTGGACATACACAGCCACGGGAATCCGCAAAGTAGTGTAAGCTCTTCCGTTTTTGCTTAGGATGTGAGAAGGGGGTGATCCTCTTAGCTGGGTTTTGAAGGATGAGGGGAGTTGTTCAGGCAGGGAGGGAGTAAAGGCTATTTCTGGTTGAGGAAACAGCATGCCAAGGTGTGGAGGAGGGACTGTTCATGACAAAACAAGGTGTGAGTAAAGGTGGGAGTGAAGGAGGAAGCGAGAGGAAGGCTGGAGGGAGGCTGGAGAGATAGTTGAGGCCAGAGGGAATCCACGGAAGATTTTAAACAGTGGGGAGATGGAACCATCACTCTTTTTGGAACGTTCACTCTGATTTCTGTGTGTGTAAGTGTGTGTGTAGAGGCAAAGGTGGGGGTGGGACAAAAGTGCAGGATATAAGCTAGAGAGCTGTTGACGAAGCCCAATTAAGAATATTAAATATATATATATATATATATATATATATATATACTTTTTAATTTAAGAGGAATAATACTCAGTTAAAAAACTCACCCTCTGCAAAGCATGGAGAAGCAGTGACGGTGTCTTCCCGCCACTCCTCGCCCCTCTCCTGCTGCCTTCACCCCAGTGGTCGGCTCAGGGGAGCCCCAGCCCATCCTAGCTGAGCCTCACCAGCGACTGCTGACCCTGACCCCTCCCGGCATCAAGCGTATCTCCACCTGCTTGCACTTGACTTTTCCCTCCTCTCCCCGCACAGAAGAGAACTGTTTAACAGCAACAGCGGAGCCCGAAAGAATGCCCTTAAGATCCTAGTTGTCATCACAGACGGAGCAAAGTACAATGATCCCTTGGAGTACCGGGATGTCATCCCCGAGGCAGACAGAGAGGGCGTCATTCGCTACGTCATTGGGGTAGGAACTGTGGCTCCCGGGCTTGATGCCTCTGGGGAGGCTTTCTGCTTAGATACACCCTCCTGCAGCGAGCAAATATCAATAAAATCGAAGTGGGCGACAGTCCCGGCCAACCCCTATGTGGGTGAATCAGTGAACTACTGTCACAACGATGCTGTGCCAGAAACTCCCCCAACCCAGTGGTTTAAACAGTGAGTGGGTCTGGAGTCCTCTGGGCAGTGTTTCTGGTCTCAGCAGGGCTCACTCCTGCAGCCCCGCTGACCATGCTGGGCGCTCTCCTGCGCCCTCTGCTGGACGGGATGGCGGGGCAGCAGTAACAGGGCTTTTGCTCCATCTCACCCTCCAGTGGCCTGGCCTGGGCACGTCCTCATGGCGAGGGCAGAGGAACAAAGAGCCAGTGGAGATGTCGCAAGCACTTTTTCAAGCCTCTGTTTGCGTCACACTTAATAGCATGCATGTGGCTGACCGCAGAGAAGTGAGCGAGGCAGCTCACTCGGCCAGGAACAGGAGGGCACAGCGACGCTTAGGGCAGATGGCTGGGGCTGAGGAATGGGTAAAGGGTTGGGATCACCAGTGTAATCCAACTACCACAGAACCTTGTGTGACAGAAGAGGGTGCACGGCATGGCAAGTGGGAAACACCTTCATGAAAGGAAAGGGCGCCCCTTCCTCGGGGGAGGCCAGCCCCCCCAGGAGGCAGCACAGCTCACAGACCAAAGGTGGGGTTCAGTCCCAGCTGCCCCCTCGACATAGAGGACAACCGCTCTCCTCTGCGTGGCGGCCTGGCCCAGGGGCCTCTGGTGCTCCCTCCTGTGACACACATTGTTCCGATACTTGTCCTGCAGAATGCTCTGTGCCGGAATGTTCTTGGTCTGATTCGGCCTCTGTTCCTTGGTAACAGGTGGGCAATGCCTTCACTAGCCAGGATTCCCGCAAAGAGCTGGAAACCATCGCGTCCAAGCCGCCTCGCGACCACGTGTTCCAGGTGACCAACTTCGAAGCTCTGAAGACCATTCAGAACCAGCTTCAGGAAAAGATCTTTGCGATTGAAGGTGAGCTCTGGTTCCATGTTTCTGAAACAGCCTCAGAGGCAGCCCTTCACCCTGAAACACACATTCCTCTTCAGAAACTAGACCCTCCTGATCTCTGGTATCCTGACCCTCAGCATCAGCTCTTGCCGGGGTTCTTGTTCCGGCATCTATAGGGTGTCCCAAAATTCATGCAAGAAGTAATTTTGATAGAAAACACAGGTTTATAATTAAAAATTGTAAATTTTTTATTGATTCATAAAGTATACAGTATAGGGTTATGTATGGAATAGCACATCAGGTAAATGGCCTCCACGGCTTTGCTGGCACAAACGCAAAGCTGTGGTTTTCATTGGTCTTCATTGTTCCTGCTCCTGGGCCATAATTGGTTCTTGGTAATGCTTATTAAATTGAAGGGATTGAAATCAAAGGGCAACAGATATTAGAATCTGATTCAATAAACCAAGTAAAATTAGGCTTTTATTTTATTTTTTGTTGTTGTTAATGCTCACGCAAAATTCAAATCTTGCGTGAATTTTGGGACACTCTATAGAAGGGTTCAGGAAATCTGAAGAAGGGGCCGTGTATAACTTAAAGAGTCCAGAGACGAAGCATAATTTTGAAAGTCGTATGGGGATCAGAGGAGCTTAGCTAAAAGGAATTAAGATCTTGTCTCAGGACCCCATGCTTTTTATTAACATAAATTGTCCTGAGGCGAGGTGGAGATATACACATCAAAGGGTCAGGGTTTCCTATACAGAGTCCATTGTCAGAATGGAAGAATTAGCCTATGGCTGTTCAGGTGTTTGGCCAGTAGGAGGCAATAACATGTAGATTAAGATGCCCTGAGCTGTTTGGCAGCAAGCAATCCATCCCTTTTCAGGTTTGGGGAAATGCCTTTAAGCCATTCCCAACAGGTGACAACATATGTGACTCAGCCCTTGTTGAGTCCTCAAGTTTCATCAACCTTTTGATGAAACTCTTGCAATTATGACATGCTGGAATTGGCTTCTGGCAAGCTCTCTCCCTGGTTCCTCCATTTCCAGCAACTCTGGCTCCCCTTGGTCAGTTCCTTTGGAATAGAAGAATCTAGACTTTTTTTCCTCTAATTTTGCCGCTCTTGCCACAGGCTGAACATTTGGAGGGTAGCGGAGCCAAACCCCCCACAGTATTTTTCTAAAAATGTGGATGTTGCCAACATTTGTCTGTTTGGTTCACTGCTGTTTTCCCAGTGCCTAGAACAGTGCCTGGTGCATAGAGGGTGCTCGATAAAAGTTTTCTGAATAAAATAATTTAAAATTGGGGGAAGGTTCACATACAATCTGGATTTATGGCTACTCTTGAAAAGCTGGAATATTATACACCTACAGGACAACATTCCCACTTGGCAAAAAGTGGCGGGAGCCAAAGAGCCACCATCCCTTTAAAAGGGGTGGGGCATATGCTTTCTCATTTAACATAGCTCTCACCCAAGCCTCTCTTTGGCCACCAAAGCGTGTGTGTGTGTGTGTGTGTGTGTGTGTGTGTGTGTGTGTGTGTTACAGGAATATAAAACTATTGACACTGTTTACCAGTACTTACAATAAAGTAAACAATGTACAGTTGAGTAACACTGTTTACTACAAAGTGACTGTTTTTTCTGGCTTCTGCTGAACCAGAACCCCAAAAGCTGAGACAGAGCTACGTGTAAGGGATGAGTTGGCTAAAGAGAAAACAGGCAGGTCAAGAGTTTAGATGACAACAGCTTGTTCACCGCCTATTCCAGCAGGTCCTCAATGGCCAAGGTTTCTAACCATCTGATTAGGTTTCCATGAACATAGTCCATGAACCAAGACACTGTAGTCAATGTGGCACAGGGATTTCAACTTCAGGTAAAGAGATGGCTTATGAGGAAGAGGCTTTAAGTAAGCCTGCTGGCCTGATTAACCCACTAGTTCTCCTATTTGGGTGGGAGTTTATTGCTAGTGACAAAACTTTCCTTTCAGGGGTTTTTCAAATAAACTTGCATTTATGATTGTAGATATGGATAGAGAATCTGATATGGCTGCTCTTAAATGGTCCAACTTAATCTGCTTACATTATATTTAAACTAGAGGCCCGGTGCACAAAATTCGTGCACTCAGGGAGGGGGGTCCCTCAGCCGGGCCTGTGACCTCTCGCAGTCTGGGAGCCCTTGAGGGATGTCCGACTGATGGCTTAGGCCTGCTTCCTGCGCTGCTGCGGAGGTGGGAGAGGCTCCTGCCACCACCGCTCCACTTGCCAGCCATGAGCCCAGCTTCTGGCTGAGCCGTGCTCCCCCTGTAGCTCCTGTGTTGAGTGTCTGCCCCTGGTGGTCAGTGTGCATCATAGCGACCGGTCGTTCCGCCGTTCAGTCGATTTGCATATTAGCCTTTTATTATATAGGACCAGAGGCTCGGTGCACGAAATTTGTGCACTGGGGGGGGGTGGTCCCTCAGCCTGCCCCCTCACATACTGGGAGCCCTCAGAGGATGTCTTACTGATAGCTTAGGCCCGCTCCCTGCTCCCCTTGGGGAGCGGGCCTAAGCCGAAGTCTGGCCTCCCCTTGTGGGAGGCGACCGGGCTGATCAGGAGAAGGCACCAGCCCCATCACCCCACTGCTACAGCCACTTCCAGTCACCGCAGCCACCAAGGTGTTTTCATCAACATGGACTCTGGTCCCTTCACCATGAAAAAATGACAACTTTCTTTAGGCATTTTCAAGATGTGTCTTTCATAGGATATGACATTTCTTTATTATTTTTTTTTATCCTTACCTGAGGATATGTTTCCATTGTTAGGGGAACACTTTGATTGGTTGCCTCCTGCATGAGCGCTGACCTGGGCTCCAGCCAGGGAAGAGCCTGCAACCTAGGTACATGTCCTTGGTCAGAATTGAACCCAGACCCTGTGGTAGGCAGGTGGAGGCATTATCTACTGAGACAAACCGGCTAGGGCAGGATATGATATTTCTTAGCCCCTCCAGCAGCTGACCTTCGTTTTTTTTCTCCAGGAGTGAGGTGGAAAAACCCTACATCACCTTCCTGGATTCTTATTACCCAAGTTACTAAGAATATTACCAGTGGCATATAGGGAACTTAGCCAATGAGCGGTCAGAAAAGGTGTTTCCTCTGTAGTTCACACCCATCCCCGGTCTGCCCCTGCCCAGGCCTAATGCCTTAGGCCGGGCATTAGGCCTGGGCAGGGGACCCCCAGCCCTGTGCGATCGCTGGCTCCGCCCCTGCCCAGGCCTCAGGCTTCTGGCTGGGGTGATCACCAGCTCTGCCTCCCTGGGTGGCTTCTGGCACTGCCCACCCCGCCTCCCCGGTCCCCATCTGCAGCCCGGATCCCATAGGTGGCGTCTGGCGCTGCCCGCCCCGCCTCCCCAGTCCCTGGTCTGCAGCCTAGATCCTGCGGGCGGCTCCGGTGCTGCCCGCCCCACCTGCAGTTTGCAAATTTAATGGCCATCTTTGTTGGGTTAATTTGCATACTCTTCTGATTGGCTGGTGGGCGTAGCAAAGGTATGGTCAATTAGCATCTTTGTCTTTTATTATATAAGATTGCCCAGTTAATTACTAATTATCTATTTAATTTCAGAGGTTAAAGCCTCAGGGGAAATTTCAGTGGCATGGTAGTGATTTCTTAGGCAGCTCAGAAACACACACTTATCTGTGGCTGTGGATGCTGTGCTTGTTTTGGTGAATGTTTAAGAAAAAGAAAGAAACAAAAACCACTTACATATTTGTTTTATGTATATTCACCAAACCACCCAAATAAACAGGAAACCTGCAATGATCTTTAGGTATGAATGACTGAGTCATGACTGGGGATTTTACCCAACATTTAGGAAAGTTTCCTAATGCAGAGGGAGAAATACACCATGGTATCCAGTGTTCTTTTATGATAAAGGAAGCGACTACAGAGAGCCTTTGTTCAAAGTGACCCATGCCACAGATACAACCGCCCAGCCACTCCCCCAGTGCTCCTTCAAAACAGACATCAAACTTGATTTTCATTAGAATGTAGTTATTTCTTATGCTAACAAATAAAAAACCTAAGACCCACCATATTCATCTGTAACTATAACTAACTATAACTATAACCATAATAATCATAACCATAACCAAACTATAACTATAACTATACTATAACTATACCATATCCATAACTAAACTA